GCCTGCAGCTTAGTTACTGAGTTTATTTTCAATGAGTTTGGGTTTGTTACATTGGTTTCCCAATTAAAAAAAAAAAAAAAGAAAGACTTGTCCTGTGTACAGTTAACTCTCAGCAGGTATGACGACAATACATAGACTTGCAGGGTGGTGGTGGTGCATGCCTTTTGAATTCAAGGCCTGCCTTGTCTACAGAATGAGTTCCAGGACAGCCAGGACTACACAGAGAAATCCTGTCTTGAAAAACCAGAAATTAAAACAATTAAAATAAATAAATTGAGTTGAGAGAGAGAGAGGAACCTCTTCCAGTGTGCACAGGGCTTCACATTCCAGCATCAGTCTCCATCATGGGAACATCATGCTCTCCATCCTTTGCATGTTTTCTTGTAGCAAGCATATGGTAATGGGTTTGTCAAAACCATTAACAAATTTTAGGGTTGCTGGTGTTTTCATGATTTTTTGAAAGGAAGACCTGGATGTAAAGCACATTCTTACAATGATATCCAGGACACTCAGTATCAACATGACTTATAACTGAATGCTGTAATATAAAATGAGTTAATTTTAGCTGGGCGGTGGTGGTGCACGCCTTTAATCCCAGCACTTGGGAGGCAGAGCCAAGCGGATCTCTGTGAGTTTGAGGCCAGCCTGGGCTACCAAGTGAGTTCTAGGAAAGGCTCAAAGCTACACAGAGAAACCCTGTCTCGAAAAAAAAAAAAAAAATAAAAAAAAAAAAAAGTTAATTTGGGTTTTTATGTAAAATTTAGTTGAGAGACTGAGATCTAACACTAGAGGGACAGGTGACATGGTCCCCCAACATTGTCTGTCATAGGGTCCTACCTAACTGGTCTCTGCAGAAATCAGCCCTGCCTTTAAGGTCTGCCACATCAAGAGCTGACTTGCTAACAGGCTGGGTGAGGGTTGTGTTGTATCAGGGTGTAAAAGGAGAAAGAAAGAGTTAAAGACAATTAACTTCTCACTAGTAGTGGAGATCTATTTTGAAGCAGTATTGAGAATGCAGATTGTGGGTGAAAAAGGATTATGCAGACAAAGCACCTGATTGGCCTGTACCTTGGTTCTCTCATCTTCACAACGGAAATAATCCCTGTTCATAGGACTGAATAAAAGAGCACAGTAGGAAAAATCTGCTGTGGTGGGTGAAGAGCAGGTGTCGATCTTCAGGTCTCAGGATCTAGCGGGCAGAGGAGACTGGACCAAGTACATGGCGTCTCAGTGGCAGGGCATGATGGCCTCCATGCACAGACAATCACTCCTAAAGGAGGAACATCTAGAGAAGGCGGTGACCCGGTCTGCTGAGGGCCATCTGGAATCAGGTCCCCTGGGCTCCCTGTGCAGACACAGGAGGCTGCCACTGAGAGCCGTCAGCTTCAACCTCGGGACTGGCCCCTCCTGGAAACGCCTGGAAACCCCAGAGCCAGAGCAGCAGCATCTTCAGGCTTCAGCTCGCTCAGCCCAAAGCACCTTGGGTGCTATGTCCCAGAGAATCCAGGAGTCCTGCCAAAGTGGCACCAGGTGGCTGATGGGAACACAGGTGAAAGTGAGGAAAAAATGAGTCCAAAAGGACAGAGGGTCCTCACCACCCAGTATGAGCCAGAACACTTGGCTATACAGGGCCAACTGGGATGCCAGAGTCGGGGGACATCCGCGCCTCTCTGGCCAGATGGGTCTACATGCCCATTGATGTCAGTGGCTAAGGAGGGAGGCTGCCCTCCGGAGCCCCTGTTCCTCCACAGAACCTCTCTGCTCTCCCAGTGAGTCTTGACAGTGACCTAGAGCCTGTGGGGGCTGGAATCCATCATCTCCAGAAGGTGTCACAAAAAGTGGACAAAGCCATGAAGGCTGAAGAGAGTGGTGACATGACTGTCTCCCTTATTCGTGAATGAGGACAGCAGGCATCCTACAGGAAAGGCCCTGTCCAGCCACCAAGCCATCAGGATGTCCGTGCCACCCACCCCATGAACTTCTGGAGGAGGCACTGGGCTCATCAGCATCTCCACGCCACTGCTAACAAAGACTTGACTAACAAGGGATCCAGAACCCTTCTGTTTCAGCTATATCTGGGCCCATTGATAACTACTGGCCACAGCCCAAGAGTGATTTAGGAAGACCTTGAAGAGGTCATGGGAACTGCCCATGCTCTCCAGGAGGACTCACATAGCACCCTGTTTTCCAACCTCACAGAGTCATCCATTTTAGGAATGTACTTGGATCAAGGCCCTGCAGGAGTCATCCCATGAAACCACCCCCTTTATTCCCAGTGCAGAGATTCTTGGGGGCCACTTTTACCCCTGATCCCACAGGGTCCCATAGGAAGAAAGGAGATATTTGTATATTGTACAAGCCTGAGCTCTTGGGGCCTACTTATCAGCTCAGTGTGGGGAACTGGGGTGTGCAGGGAGGGGAACACTCCAGTTTCTCTCTTTCCTTATTGCTTTTTTTTAAAGATTTATTTATTTATTATGTATACAGTGTTCTGCCTACATGCATGCTTGCAGGCCAGAAGAGGGCATCAGATCTCATTAGAGATGGTTGTGAACCTCCATGTGGTTGCTGGGAATTGAACTCAGGACCTCTGGAAAAACAGCCAGTGCTCTTAACCGCCAAGCCATCTCTCAAGACCAGTTTCTGCTCTTTGTAAATTATTTAGGAAATCTACTATGTCATTTTATTAGATACCGGTGTGTCAGTTTCTAGATCACATTGCTTTTTCATAATTAAAAACTTGCTTTTGACAAAAAAGGAAAGAGTACATGAGTAAAGAATTTAGAATATGATTGCCACAGAGTAGGACTTAATAGATATTAGGTATTCATTAGAATATTAAATTTTTCCTGAAAGAAGAGCAGAGGTCAAGTCCATCCAGTAACTGCCTCTTTCTTTCGTGGGGAGGAGGGGAGCTGGCAATGGCTAAGGGAGTGGATAAATGCACACAGAGACTGAGCAGGTAAGGGGCTTGGTCTCCTCGTCAGTGCTTCAGTTCTCTTTAAATACTGGGCGACAGCATTTATATAGTGGTGACTGCCAAACATTGTACAAGTCAGTTCACAGTTTCTACAATGACAGACAGAATAGGAACAATATATACCCAAGTGGCCAAACAGTCACAGAAAAGTTGACTTGCCTCAGAACATACTTGAATTGTCGGAGCAGGGTTTGGATCGCAATCAGTGTTCAGAGCTCAGCTCCTATTATTTGGTGAGTCTACCGAACCCAGCCCTGAATCCTGAACGGGCTATTGTGCTCCAAGTTTACATGCTTATTCTCCTGGGCTGACAATGCTGCGATGCTGCCAGCCTTCACTGGGGAAAATGAGGAAGATGCACCTTATCCCAGAAGTGCTGTTCTGGAGTGCACGTCTAGTCCCAGCTATGCTCAGCTGGTTTGGAGGCCTTTGACCTGGGTGAGGGGAAGGAGCTGCCCTTTTTTTTGTGTGTGTGACATCCAGCGGGTTCCTGCTGACTGTGAAGCAGTGTCCCGCCGGCGGATTTCTTCGGGCAGCAGAACCTTCCAGCGGCGGCGCTGGGGTGCAGCCGGCCCGGCCGGAGGGACGGACCCGGCGGACCGGGGGGCGGGGCGGAGGCGGAGACGCCGCGTAGGCCGGGCAGGCCTGGCGGCCGGGTTTGGAGCTAGAGCTCCATGTCCAGCTGTGTCTCCCCACGATGTTGCCCTCCCGGAGGAAAGCGGCGCAGCTGCCCTGGGAGGACGGCAGGTGAGCGGCGGCGACCAGCCGGAGCCGCGTCCTCTCGGGTGCCATTATTTTCCTTAACGCCAGCAGAATCTAGGGGCCTGACGCCGTCGCATCTGCATTTCTGGGGGTCACCCTAAGGGTCTGTGGTTTTGGGGGAGGGAGTCATTGGCATTGGCTGCATGGCTCTCTTTTTCTACCAGCTTCCATTCCGCATATGTCTCTCTCGGGCCCTGTGTCTCGGTCACGGTCTCTGTGTCTTCTCTGCATTGATCTCTCTTTGTGTTTGTTCCTCTATTTAATCCCTTTCTCCCATGTGTCTTTTGTGTGTGTCTTTTTCCCTCACTGGTTCATCTGTTTTCCTGCGGGCCACTGATTCCGTTCACTTCTTACAGAGGATCTCTCTATGTTGTGGCACTGAGGGTCTGTATTTCTTTTCTGTCTGCCTCATCACATCCATGTGACTTCAGATCCTACCCCTTTCTTTCATACTTCTTCATACTTTGCGGTTGGCCCGGAAGATCACACCAGACAGAAGCTTCCTATGTTCTCTGCCTAGTTGGTTAGCCATTGCCTGGCTTATACTAGACCCACCCATGAGTTCATTTCCTGTGCTGTTGTACTTGCATGGGTCCAGCCTCGAGTGTTAGGTGTGAGTCTGGCCCGACCTGAGTTTAAGATATTTCTCCCTGAAGCAGAATTGGGGAGGTGATTTCCCTGCCTAGATTTATAGGGACAGTATACTTCAGACTTGAAATATGCTCCCCTCTCCCATCCTTCTTCCCCCAAACACACCTTAGTGGATATTCACTTAATGAGTGACATGTTTAGTAAGACTCGAGTTTAGTGGGCACAATTTTTTTTTAAGATTTGGTGTTAAAATGAAACAGTAACCGGGCGGTGGTGGCGCACGCCTTTAATCCCAGCACTTGGGAGGCAGAGCCAGGTGGATCTTTGTGAGTTCGAGGCCAGCCTGGGCTACCAAGTGAGTTCCAGGAAAGGTGCAAAGCTACACAGAGAAACTCTGTCTCGAAAAAAAAAAAAAAGAAAAAAAAAAAAAAAAAAGGTTAAAAAAAAATGTAACAGTAATATAATAGAAACATGGTGAATGGTGGCTAGAAACAGACCAGTTAATTTTTCTGACCTCAGTTTTCCATCTCTGAAATGAGGAATCATATTATCTACTTGGAACGGTTCTTTGAGGATTAATGAAGATGATATTTGGAGGAAGTAGAGGAGAATTTCCATCTTCTGATCCGTTTCTTTTATTGTGTTCTCAGAAAAATAGATGGATGTCCATTCTGTGCTTTTGATACAGTGGTGAAGACCCACACAGCAAGTATAAAGCACTGCAGTAACTGTGTACAAGCTGTAGAACAAGCGTGCTTGGGTTTGAAGCACCTCTAATTAGCCCTAGGTGTTGACTGATACAGGAAACCAACCCCTTTTTAAAATGCCCCTCAGAACATGGGTGTTGGAACACCTGGGACTGCAGTTCTGGAGACTGCCACCAGGTGGCACCAACAATATCAGTTCTCAATGTCCACTATCATCAGCTTTATTGATAGAATCGGGACCCTCAGTGGTTTTGGCCTTTAGAGCAAAGAATGAGAGTGCCCTTGGGCACTACAATTCTCGTAGAAAGGGCAAGTTGAATTGAAGAAACATCATAAGGAAGTGCATGGACTGTTCAATCCATGCCATACTCTTGGATAATGGTCATTGCTTATTCCCCCCAAAGGAGGTCTATTACCCATTGTTCATCGTCTAAGTCTCCACCCCGCTCCCAGAAAGAGCCCAGAGTGCAAGAAAGAATCTGTAAAGGTTCCAGGCTTGTCAGACCATTTGCAGGTCTGGGCTCTACTGCTCCACAGTGGAAACCATCACCACAAGATGATGGGGGGTAAGTCAGAAAGCCGGTGAGGGCAGTCCTGCTACGCAACCTAGCAGCTGCATGTGGGACCTGGGCCTGGCTTCAGGGCTGCTGGCTTCCAGATTTGCAGTTGTGTCTTTTGAAAGGTAGGCTTGGATGTGGCTCCAGCATACAACTTAAAGCATGCTTGGACTGCTTTCACCCTTCCCGTACTCAGTTGGCAAGCTGTCTGCTGTCGGACTGGGCCTGAGGCCATAGAAAAGAATATGACATGTTCTGAAAGTAGGATCATGCAGCTCATCACACATAGGTGATGTAAAGAGGGAAGTGCCGGGTACCCTGGGAACACAAAGCAGGGAACTTGGTGGGAGCCGTGATGGCCATGACATGGATCTTTGGCCTTGAAAGGTTGGTAGGAAACTGCTAAGCAGTTAAAATAAGGAGGTATCAAGTAGGAGAAACGTGGGGTAAGGGCTGGAGCAGGAAGAATGTGGCAAGTGGAAAGGTCTCCCGTTACTCAGGATGAGAGTGAATGCTTGTTAGAAAGTGGAGATTTGACAAAACCACAGTACCTTCTCAGAGGATTCTGACTGCCAGAGAAAGGGCTTTGGCTTTGATCTTGTAAGCCGAGGCAGAGCAGCTGTAAGACTGAAAGTGACAAGCAGGGTGAGGACCAGTAGTCAAGACTATCGCAGGAGAACTTAGGAGGTAGTGTCTACAAGACCTGATAACCGGCCAGGAGGTGGTGGCACACACCTTTAATCCCAGCACTCGGGAGGCAGAGGCAGGAGGATCTCTGAGAGTTTGAGGCCAGCCTGGTCTGCAAAGCGAGTTTAGGACAGCCAGGCCTACACAGAGAAACTGTGTCTAAAAAAACCCAATTCCTGACTCTTAGAGGCTAAAGGAGATTTCTTTACTGATCGCTTGGGCAGGGAGGCAGGAGCGACTGTAGAGGAAGCTTCCTTCTGAGGTTTCTCAGATCCTTTCCTGGTATCAGGAGCTTTGAGAGGAGGGCAAAGGTGAAGTTCACTGTTTCTTTTTTGCTTCTTTGTTTCATCTGGTTTTGAGACAGTATCACCCTGTAGCCCAGTTTGACCTTGAACTGGAAACCCATCCACCATGGCCACCATGCAAGGCTTTCCACATATTCTTTCACCATTGTTAACTGAAGGGCAGTTTCCCCGAGTCCCCCAGTGTCTGAGATCGCCAGCTGTTTGTCCGGTTTCTTTCATTTGGGTGCAGATGTGAGCCCAGCTCTGTCCCTTTACCTCCTTTTAGCTCCTGTTCTATGGGCTACCCAGTGGTCTGCACTCTCCCTCTGGACCTCACATTGGGCAGTGTTGAGCTTCTTTGAGCTTTCTAGACTAGATACTGGCCATTTTGCCTGGGGTTTATGTCAGTACACACCCCTCTTGGGGAGCGTTCTGGGCACCCTAACAGCACGACAAAATAACATTTCTGCTGGGTGAATTTTCTGGGGAGTGAGTTTGGAGTTTGGAAATCAGTGGGTTGTATCTTTCTAAACTGGAATCACTGCCATTGGCTAAGGACTTCAAGACACTGTCCTAGGGAGAAATAAATACGACACAATGAGCCTCTCCCTTTTCCCTGAGCACTCTTACCAGGAGCCCCTCAGAATGTGAGAAATCGCTGAAGAGCTGGGGCAGCCCTGTCACCTGTGAGGGTCCAAGAGTGTCCCGGGGGGTAGCACAGGCTGGGCCTACAGAGGTGAATGGTC